CTCGACTTCATCAGCAAGCTTACTGTGCGTTACAAGTTCTGCATACAAGTCCGGGGTACTTGGTACTAGACTAGTGTAGTCTTCACTCCCACCACTTCACCAAAAACATCGTTAAGTAATAGGGGACGTGAAAGCTGAGTAGCCAGCGTGTGGCCACGAAAGGTTCTTGAGACTGCTTTCCCTCTTGCTATGTGACTAACAGCTTTCTCTCCAGAAACTACTTGTAAGACTTCTCGAAGACCAGATCCTTAAGTCTAAGTTATAATGGCACCTAGGATATTCATAAGCGAATTAAAGGAGCTCAATAAAATGACTGAGTCTTCCACTTCAGACGTACGTACAATCGGCAGAAATGATTTACGGTTCACCTCCCACCCCCCTCAGAAAAAAAAAGGCTGGTCAACTATTATGATAGGAGTAATTTGTCGAGACTTAGGTCTCGGACAAATTACTCGCCCGGGCCGGGAGAATACCGGCGAATCTTTAATAATAATAATACATAATAATTTCCATCAGTTATTCCCAAGGTAGGAAATTTTTTAACTTCATCTGGATGACACAGTGAAGGTAGGTGGAAGGTGGGTGGTGGAGACTCATTGTAACAGCCACAGATGTTCTCAATGGGATCACAGACAATCAGCTCTCCTACACGCTTGTGAAGCAGCGCCTCCTGCTGCTGCTGCTGCTGCTGCTGCTGCTGCTGCTGCTGCTGCTGCTGCTGCTGCTGCTGTTTACATCTGGAGGTGAAGCAGCACCTACTACTGCTTATGTTGCTGCTGTTGTCTATATCCCGAGATGAAGTAGCACCAACTACTACTAATGTTGCTGCTGTTGTCTACATTCGGAGACGAAGCAGCACCTACTACTACTACTACTACTACTACTACTACTACTACTACTACTACTACTAATGTTGCTACTGTTACCTACTTGCGGAAGTCGCTTATCTCTCTTAGAGGACCTTGACGATTCTGTGAATCAACGCTTCTTGCTGCTGCTGCTGGGTACAGAGGCGTGCTGCCGACAGTAATGACGAAAATAAACAGGCGCCGAGCAGGCTTTTATTGTAACAACGTTTCGCTCTGTTATTCGATAAAGAGGCTGAAAGGATGTCACCGAAGCTTGTTCAGCACCAGTGTCCTTTCTCATGCTGCTGCTGCTGATGTTGTTGCTGGATGCTGCTGCTGCTGATGTTGCTGGATGCTGCTGCTGCTAAATACTGCTGCTACTGCTGCTACTGCTGCTACTGCTGCTACTGCTGTTGCTGCTACTGCTGCTGTTGTTGCTGCTTCTGCTGCTGCTTTTTTTGTTAACATCTGTCCAGAATGGAAGACACACAGGGGAGCAAGAAGTTTGGAAGACATATGTAGAGGTGGGAGCAATGTAAGACGTACATCACGGGGTGTAAAACAATGTAAGACGTACATCACGGGGTGTAAACAATGTAAGACGTACATCACGGGGTGTAAACAATGTAAGACGTACATCACGGGGTGTAAACAATGTAAGACGTACATCACGGGGTGTAAACAATGTAAGACGTACATCACGGGGTGTAAACAATGTAAGACGTACATCACAGGGTGTAAACAATGTAAGACGTACATCACAGGGTGTAAACAATGTAAGACGTACATCACGGGGTGTAAACAATGTAAGACGTACATCACAGGGTGTAAACAATGTAAGACGTACATCACGGGGTGTAAACAATGTAAGACGTACATCACAGGGTGTAAACAATGTAAGACGTACATCACAGGGTGTAAACAATGTAAGACGTACATCACAGGGTGTAAACAATGTAAGACGTACATCACAGGGTGTAAACAATGTAAGACGCACATCACGGGGCGTAAACAATGTAAGACGCACATCACGGGGCGTAAACAATGTAAGACGCACATCACGGGGCGTAAACAATGTAAGACGTACATCACGGGGTGTAAACAATGTAAGACGCACATCACGGGGTGTAAACAATGTAAGACGCACATCACGGGGTGTAAACAATGTAAGACGTACATCACAGGGTGTAAACAATGTAAGACGTACATCACGGGGTGTAAGCAATGTAAGACGTACATCACGGGGTGTAAACAATGTAAGACGTACATCACGGGGTGTAAATGTAAGACGCACATCACGGGGCGTAAACAATGTAAGACGCACATCACGGGGTGTAAACAATGTAAGACGTACATCACGGGGTGTAAACAATGTAAGACGTACATCACGGGGTGTAAACAATGTAAGACGTACATCACAGGGTGTAAACAATGTAAGACGTACATCACAGGGTGTAAACAATGTAAGACGTACATCACGGGGTGTAAACAATGTAAGACGTACATCACGGGGTGTAAACAATGTAAGACGTACATCATAGGGTGTAAACAATGTAAGACGTACATCACGGGGTGTAAACAATGTAAGACGTACATCACAGGGTGTAAACAATGTAAGACGTACATCACGGGGTGTAAGCAATGTAAGACGTACATCACGGGGTGTAAACAATGTAAGACGTACATCACGGGGTGTAAACAATGTAAGACGTACATCACGGGGTGTAAACAATGTAAGACGTACATCACGGGGTGTAAACAATGTAAGACGTACATCACAGGGTGTAAACAATGGAAGACATAAATCACAGGGTGTAAACAATGGAAGACATGCATCACAGGGTGTAAACAATGGAAAACATACATCACAGGGTGTAAACAGTGGAAGACATTACATCACAGGGTGTAAACAATGGAAGACATTCCATCACAGGGTGTAAACAATGGAAGACATTCCATCACAGGGTGCAAACAATGGAAGACATCAGGGGGTGTGAACAATGGAAGACATTACATCACAGGGTGTAAACAACGGAAGACGTACATCACAGGGTGTAAACAATGGAAGACATTACATCACAGGGTATAAACAATGGAAGACATACATCACAGGGTGCAAACAATGGAAGACATCAGGGGGTGTGAACAATGGAAGACATTACATCACAAGGTGTAAACAATGGAAGACATACATCACAGGGTGCAAACAATGGACATTACATTACAGGATGTAAACAATGGCAGACATACATCACTTGGTGTGAACAATGGTAGACATACATCACTTGGTGTAAACAATGGCAGACATACATCACTTGGTGTGAACAATGGTAGACATACATCACTTGGTGTGAACAATGGTAGACATACATCACTTGGTGTAAACAATGGCAGACATACATCACTTGGTGTGAACAATGGTAGACTTACATCACTTGGTGTAAACAATGGCAGACATACATCACTTGGCGTGAACAATGGCAGACATACATCACTTGGCGTGAACAATGGCAGACATACATCACTTGGTGTGAACAATGGCAGACATACATCACTTGGCGTGAACAATGGCAGACATACATCACTTGGCGTGAACAATGGTAGACATACATCACTTGGTGTGAACAATGGTAGACATACATCACTTGGTGTGAACAATGGTAGACATACATCACTTGGTGTGAACAATGGTAGACATACATCACTTGGTGTGAACAATGGTAGACATACATCACTTGGTGTAAACAATGGCAGACATACATCACTTGGCGTGAACAATGGTAGATAGATCCAGGAAGCAACATGCTTGACCAGTGTGGGTAAGTCATCAGGGGCATCGCATGCTACTTAACCAATGTAGAGTCTTGTTCAACCTTCGCTTGAGATCTTGTGCATACTTGCCTTTGTCGTGATGGTGGTTGGTGCATCGTATGATCAGTTTCTGTACGGTTTTCTATCAAATTACTGCAGTGTTGGCATCACTCTTTAAGAGCCTAGATTATTTTGTAGGTCATCCTAAAAGTAAGTAAAATGGTGTGTTGGTTATCGTCTGCATTCTTACTGGTATTTTAGGTATCTGCGCTGCTTTTTGATTGAATTCTAAGTTGAAATAAGAAGGAAACTTGAGTTTAAAGAAAATATTTGTAGTCGTTTAACTCCTTCAGAGACTTAGGCACGCCTTTCGTGTTGTTTCTGTAGACAGTCTGGAAATTTGAGTATGTTCGATACTTTTAAGAATTATTTGACATCAAAGAAGATGGTGTGTTGTTATCAGTCTCGATTCTTGCATGGTATATTGGTATCTGCGCTATTTTTGATTGTTAAGGGAGGAACTGAGAAAGAAAATATTTGTATCTCTTATATCATTTAAGATTCAGAATGTTTGTTTACGTAACCGGGAATTGAGTAGTTAACTTCAAAATGTTTGACTTTCAGTGGACTTCATCGATTTGCGATGTAATCTATGGGACATTGTGTTAAATAAAGAATTTATAGTTTGTAATAATTACAGAATTTTGCAAGGTAAAGGCACGAGCTAGGACTGAATGTTTGTTTCGTGACTCAGAATGCAAAGACTTAAATTATGGGAATGTTTAAAAAAAATGAATTTATATGTAATTTGGACCTTAATATGCAGTGAGTGGGATTAGATGGGAAATCTGATGGGAAGAGGGGACTTGATTGAGTGGGATGATGAGAGCAACTGCAGCTTGATATGACTGTGGTCTAAGCAGCATGAGTGGGATGAGTGGGACAGCTGAGTGGGATGAGTGGGACAGCTGAGTGGGATGAGTGGGACAGCTGAGTGGGATGAGTGGGACAGCTGAGTGGGATGAGTGGGACACCTGAGTGGGATGAGTGGGACACCTGAGTGGGATGAGTGGGATACCTGAGTGGGATGAGTGGGACACCTGAGTGTTGTAGATGGGTATTGCTTTAGGCGCCTAGGGGTGATATACCATATTTTGTAATGACAATACCAAGTGTGATTGGGTCTCATCAGTATGTTAACCTTCTATGATTTTGGGAAACTATACACGATTGTCAAGTACCAAATACAATGGTTTTTACCTTTAGTAAATGTTTGCTTCATACTAAGTCTATATTCGGGACTTGTCGCAAAGACCTGCCTTAAAACATTCTTTCTGGTAGCTAATGTGGTATCAGAAGTTGGGTTAGAGGCGACGTCCAGTGAAGTGTGCAGCCAGCAGTACCAGCGTGAGGCGGACACCCCGCGCCTGGTGCTGCTATGGACACCCTTCTGGCATAACTGGACATCTTGGAAGGATGTCGTCAACCAGCATGGTAGACTACGGCAGGAACGCTGTCCTGTCTGGAGGTAGGTCGAAAGTAGGAAAGGGAGGTGGGAGGCGAAGGAATTAGGTGGGTAGTACATGTACGTAGGAGGTGGAGGTAGGTGGTAAATAGCTCTTGGAACTCATGAGCCACCATTTCCTATTTAAGAGTGTGCCTGACTAGTGCTTTCTAGATCCCAGATTAGGAGCACGTTCATCTCTAGTAGCATGTGTACATCTTTTTACTACGTCAGTCGTCTACCACATTGGTAGGTGGACCTTGAAAAAAAAGGAAGCATTCACCATCCTTCATTTAATAGCTGTCTTTCCATAAGTGCGCAAACATCACAAGCTAAATGAACCAACAAACGGCAACATTCCCCTCCTCCCTCCAGAGTGCAGACACTCTACTTCCCAGCTTCAGTATTCTCTGAATCCCTCCATGAGTGTTACCTTGTACACACTCCTGCAGTACATGCAATTCTTAAAAAAATCTTGTTTCACTCTAGTCTAATATTATACCCTCCCTTCAGCATTTCTGGAATGACTTACACACACAACACACACACACACACACACACACACACACACACACACACACACACACACACACACACACACACACACACACACATAATATATATATATATATATATATATATATATATATATATATATATATATATATATATATATAAAATGTGTGTGTGTCGTGCCGAATAGGCTGAACTTGCGATCTTGGCTTAAATAGCAACGCTCATCTTGCTATATAGGACAAGTGAAAATTTGTGTATGCAACAATTTCGCCAAAATCGTTCTGAACCTAACGAGAAAAATATATTTCACTGTGGTTGTTTAGTATTAAATTACTGTAAACAAATCTAAAATATATTTATTTGGGTTAGGCTAAAATAAATTGATCTTGTTTTAATAAGGTTAGGAAAGTTTTCTAAGATTCTTTTAGTGCAAAATTAAAATTTTTTAAATTAACATTAATGAAAAAATATATCTTTAAACGTATAAGAGAAAATTTCAGAGAGGACTTAATTTTAAATGAGTTCTTGCTAACTGACCAGTTTTACATATTCGGCACATTATATATATATATATATATATATATATATATATATATATATATATATATATATATATATATATATATATACAGGTAAAACTTGCGATTTTTGCTTAAATAGCAACGTCCTTCTTGCCGAATAAGGCAAGCGAAAATTTGTGTATTATTAAGAAGTAAATTATACAATATACGGATTCAAAAAGGTAGGTCAAAATAATGCTCGGGGGGTTATTTGGCGAAAAATAATTTTGATGTCTAAAGAACAGAGTCGTTGAGATTGGAAATATAGGGAAGGCAGAGGCAGGAGATTTCACAGAGGTAGAGAGTTTGGGAGAAAAGGAAGACCGTTTAGTACGTGAGAAGGCAGAGTTTATGAAATCGGAAGGGTAGTCAAGACGAGAGAACGAATTACGAAGAGTGTAAATTTCTGATTTAAGGAACTGAGGGTCACAAATGCGGAGAACACTGAGAAAGAGAGAAATAACATTTTTCTTGACAGAGGAAGCATGGTAAGAAAAGTAGTGGATGTACATGCCACTATGCACAGACTTGTTATAAACGGAAAAAGAAAAGACTGTAGCCGAGCGATGGACATGTACATCAAGGAAGTAAGAGTTAGATTCTCATTCAGCTTTTAACTTTATGGAAGGAGCAAGACTGTAAAGGGCATCGAGAAATAGTTGGAAGAGACTAGAGTCATGAGGTCAAAGAGCAAAGATGTCATCGACATAGCGGAACCAGAAGGAAGGCGCAGATCAATAACAGGAAGAAGAACAGTCTCGAAGTATTCCATATAAAGGTTAACAAGAACAGTGGGTAGAGGAGATCCCAAAGCGACACCGAAGATTTGAGAAAAATTTACCTTTAAAGGATAAGGAGGTAGTCCACACAAAGCCGAATAAGAACAAGACAGACATCAGTAAGTATAGGGAGGTGAGGTAACCCTTCACTGGACTTCAGTCTGAGAAAATTAAGAACATCTTCAAGAGGGACATTGAAAAGGGACTCAACAGGTCGGTAGAGGGAGAACACATTCGATGAAGTCTGGGAGTGACGTAGGGAAGCACGAGAAAAAGTACTAAGAAATGGAGTAAGAGTTTTGGCCAGCCAAGAAGCAAGAGAATAAGAGATAGAACCTCTGGAGGATATGATGGGCACAGAGGAATATCAGGTTTATGAGTATTAGGAAAAACCATAGAAATAAGGAGAACAGACTCACGAAATCGTAAAGACACGATTGCAAACAAACCATACCACGGGCGGGGATAGAACCCGCGATCAGAGAGTCTCAAAACTCAGACCGTCGCGTTAGCCACTAGACCAGCTAGCCACAATAAGATTCATCCAACTAGGTGTATTTCTACACCATAGGAAGGTTAGCATAGGCACCGCTGTGGCCAGCAGTGGCTAACGCGATTGTCTGGAGTTTTGAAACTCTCTGATCGCGGTTCCATCCCCGTCCGTGGTATGGTTTAAGGAGAACAGATAACACGGAAATAGTTGAATAAGATCAAAGTCAGGAGGACAGAGAGTCCTAAGTTTAATGTTCCAAGTTCTTTTAATGCGATCAAGAGGGTTGGAAACGAGCGGAGTGTAGATATGAGTCAGCGAGCAATTCAGCTTTGTGAAGGTAAATCTCGCGATCAAGGACAACCACCGAATTGCCTTTGCCAGAAGAGACGATGACAATATTGGTATTATATTTAAGAGAAGAAAGGGCAGGTTGATAGTTTCGAGGAAGGTGGTAATTCTTAGACAACATGCTATCCTAATGACACGATTGCAAATATGTCATTACAATCGCTTCAATACGATTTCGTGAGTCATGATGACGGCTTTGAGAGGACTTGAGCTAAAGTTCACCACAACCACGATGGCAGGAGATTCATCTGTAGAAACTTGCATTTGTGATCACAGTGGTGGCCTGTGCTGTATAAATATGATGTATAAGTATACCTAGTTGGATGAATCTTATTGTAGCCAGCTGGCCCAGTGGCTTAGGCGCTGGTCTGGCATTTTAAGACACTCTTGCCGCGAGTTCAAGTACCACCCGTTCCATGGTTTGTTTGCAATCGTGTATTTACGATTTTGTGAGTCAGTCTCCTATGTACGGGTTATCTGTGTATTAAGTAAGTTTATTTAGACACAGGTACACATAAGTAGAATAATTATATCTTGTAACATATGTAAATTACCCAAGATAACTCAGAAGTCAGACAAAGTGACGTATTTCCATTGGGGTTCTTTCCTAACTTTGTACCTGGAGATTAATGGCTTCATACTGCATCTTATTCTTGACTCGGATAAGCCAGCAACACTTAAGAATATTGTTAGATCCTGTTCATTACCTGGGATTGATTTCCATTCAGTAATTTTACCCTCCTCGCAAAACACTATTATCGTTCTTTCAACAGCCTGCCACAAAACGGTAGAATATATTTCCTCCTTCCCACATCTCGTGCAGCAATAGGGTGGAACACATCACCTCTTTCACCCACCATATACCGTCGCTGCGTCCAATAAAATGACTCCCTCTGCACTCTTGCTCCACTCAGCATGTCGTACCTTATTCAACCCCTCCCCCATCCCCCAGGAAGCTGGATGGATGCAACTCAGGAGTAAGCCAGCAACCAAGGAAATGACGCAACTGGTAATGTTAAGAGAGGCAAGTGTTGATCGTGTTTGTTTACAGGTTTATCGCGTTAACACTAATGGTTTCCTCAAACTTGGTAGTTGCCCTACTTTAGGATGTCCTCCCGTGGAAATGATGACCCACAGCCACGTCAAGCACCTGAGCACACTCCATCAAATCTTATCTCATCAGATAATATGAAAGCATTCAAAGCAACACAGCTACCATGACACTCCCACATATTCCCAACGCAACCCGTTCACACGCAGCTGGGAACTCACAGACCCCCTGAAAAAGTAAACGACATTGCCATTATCCTAAATGCATCATCAACTATAAAGGAGTGGCACAACTTGCTACTTTTTGCCTGCTTAACTGTGCCGGAAAGAAGTGGCAAGTCGCTAGCCTCGACGGCCATTAAATCATTGAAAGATTTTCTTAAAGCCAGCTACTTCATTTGCCTTCCTCAGTGAAGAAATCAAAGTCCATGTGAAGAAAAAAGTTGGAGGCAAACAGTTGTTCCCAAGGATGCTGACACTACTTAAGTACTTAGAGAAAACTTCCATGCCAGGGTAAGCAGGGGCACCAGGAGCTCAAACACTATTGTGGAACCACTGTGAAAGAATCAGAAGTGTATAAAACATTTATGCCATTCCCGTCTGATTCTGCTGAGAGTTACACTGGAATAAAAAGAAATCCATTTCTCGGGAAGATCGCAGACACACTTCTTTCGGAGATCAGAAGGCTTGTTAACTCTGGCTCGTCTGAGTCTTCACAAAATTAAACTTTTCTTCTTTGGTTCATCGTTTTGTGCCCTTACAAAGAAAGCTGGAAGAGTTAGGCCAATTGCCGTAGACAATACTCTTTTCCGCCTCGTTTCTAAATCTATTGTCCGGAGTATTGGCAGAGAGGCGGCCATGATGTTATAAGTAAACGAGCTCGGCCTCAGGGTTTCTCATGGCAGCAAAGAAACGGTTCGTGAGGCAAGGGTGTATATCAGTAACCTGCCTGTGGATAATGCAGTAATAAAACTAATCTTTAAGAATGCATTTAATCTTCTGAAAAGAGACGTGGAATTTAGAACTGTACAAGAACATTTTTTCTAGTCTCTTCTCTTTTTGTTTCAGCTGGATACAACAAAAAATCAGTGCTCGTTCTTGGAGGGTGCCCGATAAGGGGATCTTCTCGCTACGTTTCTGTGAAAATGACCAGTCAACTAAAGAAGTTCCTTTTAGCAGATCTTGCTAAGGTGAGAACACGGGACAGGAAATGGGATTCATAGTTAATCGACGCAGTGAGATCCGTACTACCAGTCAACCCACAAATTACGTTTTGCT